TTCTTCTGGTGAGAGAATAAGTTGGAACAATCTGGAGGCAAAGTTAGCAATACTATATATCAGGAGCCTTAAAATCTGCATACCTTTTGATTTGGCAAATCACCTCCAGAAATCTATTCCAAGGAAAAAATAGAGGTAACAGAATCTCACCAATCGGAACTTCATTATAGCATTGATTATCAGAGTAAAAAATTAGGAATACCCTAAGGACCAAGTAATAGGGAATTGGTTAAATGGATTATGATACATAAGAATGATGTCATAGATGAAAAGGGGCTTGGAAAGATGTTCTTGATATATAAGCAAGAAAAAAACATTAGAAAAACAGTATAAAGAGTGTTAGCTGACAATTACACCCCCCCAAAAAGAACCCCAAACCAAACTAAACCAAAACAAAACAAAAAACACACTAGAAAAACTTGATTAAGAAAAGCTAAGTTTATTAGATTTATTTCAATGAAGAAGAATACAGTGTCTTAGCAGTAGAGCAGAAAGGGGAAGCTGCAGGAGGAGGATATTCACAGGGTTTTACGCCAGAGCTGAGTGATTGATTATAAGATGGGTCTTACCAGGTGGGGAACTGGTGGGGATTGAACGATTTATGACATAACAGCTTTGGATTGATGGACACAGTGAGGTACGGTCTTGAAACAAACGTTGTTGAGCAAACTGTTGATCTTGATAAGTAAGCAAGTATTTTCTGGAGCAAATAGCAGGTTATTTGTGCCTAGTCCTGGTATAGTTTGGCACAGAAACAGGAATATATGTTTTGCTCACAACTGTTTACCATAGAGACAAGAAAGTACTTTGATTTCAGTTGTCAATAAATAATAGCTCTTTTGTTAAAAAAATTGTCTATATTTATATTTCAATCTCACTAGATAATTATGTGTAAATTAAATGTGGTTATCTCCTGGTGGAGGGGTTACAGGTATTCTTTTAGTTTCTTCTTTCTTGCTAGTTTGTATTTTCTAAGTTTTCTCTAATGAACATATATTCAGAAAAAAAGATGCATTCGTTGAACTCATATTGAGCCAGATAATTGCAGGACTATAGCATCCATAGTCACTCTCACTTCAGAACTTCTAACCCATTTCTAAGTACACCAGATCGAGGCAGAATCTTGTGGCCTACTTGGGAAACTGGCTAGATCATTACCTAATCACAACCGCGCGATTCAATGTGCATTAGACGGCTTTTCATCTGTTCAGACAGGTAAGCGCTGTACAGACTGTATTAGAAGGATCCATTCTTCAGATGTATAATGAAAGCATACTTAACAAACACAGACACGCATTTCTGTCCTGGGCTCGGTTATCATTCCACGTTCAGCATTACGATACAGTGGGGATCAGGGACTCCAGGGAAGTGGTGAACCAGAAGTCTCGAATACTGTCTCATGTCTCCAATCAACCACTGATAAATATTTTTGAGCACCTGATACTTGCTGAGTGCTGGACGGGTGAGGCACGGCACAAAAATTGGATAACCTACGTTCCAGTCCTTAAAGGAGCTTAGTTTTTCATTGGGGAAGGGGCTATGACGAGTGATTGACACACAGCGGACAATTCCAAGTAGCTACAAGATGGCATATAACCAAGCCACAGGTGGATCAGGTCTTGATTCTATGCTGGTCTCTATCATGACATTTGTATTATGCATCTTGTGTGGTCTAGACTCCAAGTCCTATACAAATTCACTGGTTTGAAGGTTTGGGACATTGAGATATTCTAGTTAAAGATGGGTTAAAGTCAAATTTTTAAAAATGTCCTTCCTTTATATTGAAAATCTTTCCAAAACTTGAGTCTGCTTTACTTTCTGCATAAGTAACTGTAGCTCAGTGAACCTAATTGTGGGGCCCACAGTCATTCTCATTGCATCTAGATGTAGATTTCATTCAGTGTAGATGAGAAAGATAGGAGGCTGATGTGGATGTGAATTGACTCAAAAATAGCCTGAAATTTACAAGACACCTACCCCGACACACACACACACACACACACACACACACATTCCTAGTATCCATGTGTTTTCTGGCGATCATCTCTTTCCATTAAAGACTACAGTGAGACCTTCCAACAGATTGAAGATTCCAATTGGCCAAAATGTCATTCCACTTGAAATAACCCTCTATTATTCATAAATACTCTTCATCAGGGATTTCATCATCTCATAGGCAAGAGGCCTTAATAACCCCTGGGGGAAACTGAGACTCAGAAAGGGACTTTATGCCAAGTCACATAGTAACTAAGTGATGGACCTACGATTAAAATCCTGATCTCCTTGTTTTTAATCCTCAGGCTCCTACCTCTCTAGTCTGATACCCCATGCCTTTCCCCGCAAGGCAAAACTTACTGGGGACTCTGGCGATCTTAAGCTACTAGACATAAGAGTAAAAAAGACACGGCTCACAACACCTTTGAGTATATGAGACGCTCCCATCTCCAAGTCCACCTTTTGGAAACTCCTCTGGAACAAGGCGCAGTGCTCCTCAATGCCAAGCACGGTGATTGCCATTCGCATGCCCCTTGGTTTTGTCATAGCATAGGGAAGGAAACAAGATGCAGAGAGATGAAGACCCATGTTCCCAGCCCTTGGTCAGCATGTAGAACAGACCCTCTGCACGCAAACAGTAGAAACACAGAACGCCTCCTGGGTGAACAAGCTGATGGCCTAACTGGCTATTAACAGCAACAACAAACTTGGCTAATATACCACTTAGGATGTTTTGGCCACTCATAGTAATAAACAAAGAAGCAATAAACATCCTCAAACAGTCTAGGATGTATCACAGGACAGGAAGTGCAGAGGTAGAACCAGTCTCAAGATTTGACATTTCAGCAGCTCGGGGTCCCATCGAGGACCTAGGCTCTCTCCACTCTTGTTGCATTTTGCAGTGTATTAGTGCCTTTGCCTGAGGCTTGGCCCTCATGGTCTCCAGAGGGCGGCAGCGCTTCCAGGCCTCACACCCACATTCCGAGGGAGCACCAGAGGCAGTGACTTAGGGAGTCACTTTCTGAAAAACAAGGAAATCTTTCTCAGCAGTTCTTGAACAAACCTCCCCTCACAACACTGGGTGAAAATTGGTCAAGAGTCCACTCTGAAACCAACCACAGCCAGGAGGACAGGCTCAGACCATTCATAATTCACCCCTGAACCTGGGGTTGGAACCGTCCTCACCTGAGTCACAGGAGGGTGGGGAGAGAGTGGGCAGGTGGGGAGAAGGGAGGAATGGGGAAGTGGACTCCGACCCCATCAGAGATCACCAGAGGAAGATAGGGGTGGTCGGGATGGAGAGATGACCACCAACAAACAGTATCTGCTCTGAGCTGCCGGCTGCCTCTCCCACCAGGACTTATTCCCTGAGTCAAGGGTCTGATCTCTTCCAAGGGATGAGAAGCTGTTCTGACAGAGCACGGAGAGCACAGAGGACTGCCAGGACCTTTGCACCTTTCAGCAGTGTGAATGCTCACAGAGGTCCTCCTCAGGTGCTACGCTGACTACAGGTAAATTCTTTTTTTAAAATTTTATTTTAATAAATTAATTAATTTATTTTTTGGCTGCATTGGGTCTTTGTTGCTGTGCGTGGGCTTTCTCTAGTTGCGGCAAGAGGGGGCTACTCTTCATTGTGGTGCAAGGGCTTCTCATTGCGGTGGTTTCTCTTGTTGCGGAGCACAGGCTCTAGGCACGCAGGCTTCAGTAGTTGTGGCTATTGGGCTCTAGAGCACAGGCTCAGTAGTTGTGGCGCACGGGCTTAGTTGCTCCGCGGCATGTGGGATCTTCCCAGACCAGGACTCGAACCCACGTCCCCTGCATTGACAGGCGGATTCTTAATCACTGAGCCACCAGGGAAGACCCTACAGGTAAATTCTTACTGAGGATTCTGGGGACCTTAATCCAGAGTCAGTGACATGATGCTAAGGGTGGGAATTTCAGGCCAGGAAAGCTGATAGGGCGAGGCCACCGAGGGCCAAGAGAGAGCTTTGGGTGCAGATAGACCAGTCTTTTAAGGTGTTCCTTAAATCGCACCTACACTGTCACTGCTGGCCCACCCCCAGGTACAATACACATAGGAAATTGAAATAAGACCCACGAAGGAACATCAGTATATTTTTTTCACCTGGGCCATGTACCATGATAGAATTTTTAGCCTTGCTAAAATAAAAATCTGTTTTTGGATGGCTGAGTCACAAGCTTTTTGCTTTTCCTTCTGTTCTTCTTCCTCCTTTTTTTTTTTCTTTTCTTTTTTTAATTGCAGTCTGGTTGATTTACAATGTCATGTTAGTTTCAGGTGTGCAGCAAAGTGCTTCAGTTATATATATATAAATATATATATATATATATTCATTCTTTTCCAGATTCTTTGCCCTTATAGGTTATTACAAAATATTGAGTATAGTTCTCTGTGCTATACAGTAGGTCCTTGCTGGTTATCTATTTTATATACAGTAGTGTGTATCTGTTAATCCCATCCTCCTAATTTATCCCTCCCCCCCTACACCTTTGGTAATCATAAATTTGTTTTCTATGTCTCTGCGTCTATTTCTGTTTTGTAAATAAGTTCGTTTGTATCTTTTATTTTTCAGATTCCACACAGAAGCGATATCATGTGATATTTGTCTTTGTCTAGCTTACTTCACTCAGTATGATAATCTCTCGGTCCATCCATGTTGCTACAAATGGCATTATTTCATTCCTTTTATTACTTTTTTTTTTGGCTGCACCGTGGGGCTTGCGGGATCTTAGTTCCCCAACCGGGGACTGAACCCGGGGCCTCGGCAGTGAGAGCACCAAATCCTAACCACTGTACCACCAGGGAATTCCCTATTTCATTCTTTTTTATTGCTGTGTAATTTTTATTTGTTTTTGATTTTTAAGAAGAATGAACATATTTTCTTTTACAATGGGAAAATAAAATAACGTTTGGGAAAATAAAGAGGTATTTCGTACACATTTCAAACAGCACAGGAAATCCCCACCTCCAGTAAGAAGTCTGGTGATCGCCTTTGTAATATTTGAAAATAAACCGACTTTATTTGAATCAGTCAATATCAATCAAGACTGCAAAACAAATTTATAACTGGTTCAGATTCATGAGGAAGACACTCAGCAATATCTTCATTAAAAGGCATTTTACATTATTAAGGCTTGAAAGCAAGACCTGCGATTTTATCACCACAGTTAAAGGTCCTGAGAAAATCAAGTTACCATCATTGGGAGTATCTTTATAAAATGATATGTTTGATCTTTTATAAAAGCTAGGCTTCTTTTGCTAAATTGGTTAGCTCTCCAGCTTATAAAATGGGATAGGCAGGTGGTCAGGAAAGATAGACAAATTCAAACATCAGCTGGGTATTTTATATTTTAAATATATGCATAGTCAGTATTGCAAAATCTCTAATTATACACAAATACCTTAGACAACTGTATCCTTAAAATTGTATTTTGCCAAAAAAACAGATTGCTTTTAGAGAAACACAGATTAGCCCAAACCCTACAACGAGGCAACTTTTTTTATTTTTGGTTGCAGAGGGTAGCATTGGATCCATTTCCTTGAGTAACATTAAGTAAGATTACGTACACTTTGGATCATACCTAATTACGAAATGAAAGTATCCTGAAAGTAAACTGGGAGGAGAATGCTGACAAAGGGAGAGGAGGATGCATTCATAGGAGGGCGCGTGTTGTTTGGATTAAATGCCAAGAGGAGTGGATAGAAGATAATGGGCCTTTTGTGCTAGAAGGGCCCCAAAGCCAATGATGTGATCACTTCTGTCCCAACATCAGAACCAGGATGCTTCACAGGCACACTCCTTTCTCTAATGCTTTAGGTTCTTTTTAATGTTACATAAAAAATAAGAAAGTGATCCCTTGTGAATCATCAAGCATAGTTTTAACCATGAGTTACTGTTTCATCTTTCCAAGGAGGAAGACACCGGCATCTTGATTCCCTCTGCTGTTGAACTGGCTCCTGGTCAGTGGAAATAGGAGCCACAGACGTACCTACTGGATGTCTGCTGTCCCTAGACCAACTTAATTTCAGGCAGACTCTCCCTGTTTCCTCCTGATGGAAAACTTGCTAGGTAGACCTGCACTTTCCTGACTCTGCCTCCCTTTTAATTCTCTTTCTCCAGACCTTGCTGATTTCTAAGACTCTTAGATCTTCAGGGTCCATTCTGGGCATGATGCATTTTGCAACAATTCTAAGATGCTTGGTCTTGTCTTTCTGCAGAGTGGCCAGTGGGCACAGGTGTTGTGAGCTTCTGTTATTTCATTCAGTGCTAGAAAATTCAGCCCAGGAAACCTCACTCTTGCCATGGCCCCTTTCTAATGAAAAGATCAAACTCCTCAGTGGCCCCACCAGCACGAGAAGTGAACGCTGAAGACAGTGCCATTTCCTAGGAAGCTGAAACCGGTTTGAGATCCTGCGGTCCAATAACCCAGTGGAGTGTGGGTTTCACTTTTCAACTCACGAGCTTGGTGCCAGGTAGCTGTATCCTTGTTCAAAACAAGACAGCCATACTCATGCCTGTGATTCTGAATTGTCAGGTGATGAAGGTGTGCGATAGAAGGAACTATGCTCTGGACCAATCCAGATTTTACTGACCCAGCTCATCTTTTATAGCTATTAAAATCTTATCCCATACCCTCTTGGGGCCACCTGAGAGGCAAGCAGGACTGAGAAGATGGGTAAGTTCAACACAGTCGTTCTGAGTATGATTCTTGTCATATGCTACCCCACTATGCTACTCCACCAAAAAAGCCACAGTGATGTGAAAGTCGAAGGAGAGAATTAAATCCAGAGTAAAACAGGATCTTAACCCAAATAAATCCCCTTTCAGCATCAGCGAAATGCTTTCTGAGGCATCGATATGCATTCCAGACCAATGACAAAGGTCACCTCCCATCTTAACACTCTGGAGTTCAGGGTCAAACTGCAGACCATCAATACTCCCTGAGTTGGTTCTGGGGACACCTAAGGACCTCTCCACACTGTTGCTGGGAGATGATAAGCTGTGTACATGACAAGGTCATGGCCAAAACCCGGGGAGGCTGAAAGATCTGGAGAAAAATCTCTTTGGAAAAAAATAATCATAAGGCAATATTATTACTATTTAAAAATATTCTGATAAATCTGGTCATAGACATTAAAGCTTTAAATCAATAGTCAGTTGCATCCCATGATAATCTCCTGTTGCAATAAAAAGATAGTCCTGGATTGAGTACCAGGAAGTGCCGTCCATCTATAACTCCTCTCCCTCTTCTAAGTGGTTACGATGGATCATATAACTGTCCCAAACTCACCCCCTTGCCTTAATATTGTTATTTATGTAAAACTAAGTCAACCACAGAAAGAACATCTAGAACTAACAATGTTGATTTGGTTTGGCTTGTTTGTTTTTAAAGGCTTGTTGTTTAAAGACTCACCAATTGCTGAATTCTGAATATCAAAGCAGAGTCTTGGTGTGCAAAAACTCCTCTGGGGGAGCTACTCCACTTGAGCTCCTCCTGTTTTCTCTGTCGCTGGCTGGCTATGCTTCTCAGATGTGCTTTAAGAAAAGCGCCTCTCTGGGTCTCAGGAAAGTAAACTGCCTCTTAGATCATCATGCTTGTGCTGTGACGTTGAGGGAAGGATTTCTGGGACAACAGGATTTCACACTACTTAAAAGGCCTTTGGGATCATTCAAGCTTTCACCTCCCAGGAGGCCAGTTTGGGGCTTTTCCCTACAGTCAAAAGGACTGTCTCCTTACCAGTTCTTTTCAAACATCTCCAGGGACAAAATTACCAGGGAGTCTGTGGAAAGGTTCCCTTAGAGGTGAAAATGCATCAATTCCTTCTGCTTTTTGAAAGGTCTCAGGCTTATAGGATGTCTTGCTGAGAAACGTCGTCTTCCTCCCTGGGCTAAAGGAGACCCTCCTGCTTCTTCTCCTTGCCTCTGATCAGGGGCCCCTTTTATCTCCAGAGATCCCTGGAGGCAGGTAGGTCCGGGGATTGCTTGGGTTAGAATCTGGTGATGTTTCTACAGGAAGGCCCTGTGCCGTTCTGCCCTCACTGACCAGTGAGCCAAGTCCTGGGGCTTTCGGGCACTTGGGAGCCTCTCTCTCCACCAACAGGCAACACAGAAGGAAGGATTGTTGGAGGTGAGGGTCTGTGGCGGGTGGACTTTCTCCCAGGGTGTTCACGGGAAGAGGGAGCTGATGACTAGCTCATTTTTCTTCATTTCCTCTGCACAGGTCCCCGTGCTCAAGCAGGGTGAGCTTTTAAGGAGGTGAAATTCAAGGAGAATGACTGCAGAGCGAAATATTAGCTAAAAAACAGTTTTTTCTTTTTCATCTTGCAGTTGAGTCAGATGGTAGGAAAATTTACCCAGATGTGTATGTATTTTCTGTTCGAGTTTAAACCACATGGTTTCCCAATCAGAAAGGCCCATGGACTTTATTCCTAAGGCTCCGTGATCAAGCCACCTCCTAAATGTATCTGTCACCCATCAGAGGCTACAGTTGATTCAGAGAGCACCCGGCTTAGCAGACTCACATCCAGGAACAACTTGAAGAGACCGGACAGTCATTTTTGGCCAATTCTTGGATTTTGGTGGGTAGTTACATGACATCACCAGTTCAAGACTTAGTTAGATCATAAGAGAGAAGACCTATCTAAGAGATTCCCGGGAAACACTGAGCCTCCTAAAGAACTTTTTCTTAATCCTCACCCATCCTTCCACCCCCCACTTCCATCTGCTTTCTCAGAGACCAAAATTCACTCGTGGATAAACACAGTCAAACCCAGGCATGTAATCTCCAATGAAACCACTCCCGTAAGCAAGCAAACCCCACGGCTGGTAGACCCCTTGGGCCTTTTGGCATTGACACTGTTCCCCTCCCCTCCCCTTCCCAGTCACCCCAGCTTGGAATTACATGCCAATTTCCCTTCCTGGCAAGGCCTGGACAGATAAAAATGGAGATCAGCATCAAGCCAGGTACTTGATAGCATCAGACTGCACCTGGCACCGCAGCGAACTGAGACTGTGTCTGAAATAGTTTTCCAATCTGGCCTTCAGTGCCCGAAGGGACAGGAGTGCCGGAAAGTGGTGAGTGACTGGAGGTGTGTCTGCCGGACGCCCAAATGCACACCTGCTCCATTCTTTCCATTCACTCTCTGTCTCCCCCTAACAAAGCACTGCATCTCTTTCTAATGAGAACTAAGATGGCGTTTGGCCTTGGCCTTGGAGTTACTGACAAAGAGGTGAGTGGACGAGGACAGGGTGTTGCACGTGTCTAACGCAGCCTAGGAGATATTTTGATATTGGCAAAAGGGGCCAGTGACAATCCCACAGACGGGTTCGTTCTCCCGCACCGACCCCAAATACACTGAACCCAGCCCAGGCCCGAAAGGCTGAGAGCTTGACGGTTTCTCTCATTTCTGCTTGCAGGTTCCTGCCTGATCAGATGGGTGTGGTGCCGACCTTCATCAAAGACAGCAGGCTGGGGTTCCAGTGATGCCAGCAAGATGCGGCCTGATAAAAACAGAAGTTTCTGGAGGTGCCGTGGAAAAGGAGTCCGTGAAGCTGGAGTCCTTGGGGGAGATGGTGAGTCTTTCTGCAGCAGTGATGGGGCAAGACGGCCAAGTTCAGGATCGGCTGAGGCGCTTGGCCACATCCGCATAGGCTAACTCAATCTCACTGTCGGCCGCGCAGGTGTTGGTGAACTCGTCCCGGGCATAGGCGTTCTTAAGGTACCGCCACAAGCCCGTCATCTCAGCCGGGAAATCGTAGTTGCGGTATTTCTTGGCCACAGTCTACAACAGAGATGGCAGGATGGAGATGGTGTTAAAGCATGAAACAAACCACCGGGAAGGTGTTAGTGGTGTGACCGAGTGTGTGCCCAGAGGGAAGACCCTCCATGCATCCCAAGGGGCCAGCAGCAAGATGCTTGTCATACAAGATGGCAGTGCTGCCTTTTTAATGCAATTTATTTTATTTTATTTTATATTTTATTTATTTTATTGTATTTTCTCAAGCAAATATAATTTGCCCTTTGACTTAGTAATTCTGCTTCCAGGGATTTTTTTCCTTAGGAAATACCATGGGTGTACAAGAAGATTTACCTACACACATAGGACCGTAGGACTATTTGGAATAGCAAAACATGGAATCCAACACAAATGTCCAGCAACACGTGAATGGATAAATACGTTATCATACATATCTGGAGAGCCATGAAAAATGATGCTGCAGAGGAAATCCCAGTGACTTGGAAAACGCTTCAAGAGAGGCTGTTAAGTTTGAAGTGTAGTATAAGGCATTTGGAGAAATATGTAGGATGACTAGAAGTCTATACACCAATCTATTACCAGTGGTTATGTCTGCTTGATAGAATTATAGACAACATTTATTTTTCTTTTTTCCCCAACCACTTTGCTTTACTAAGCATCCTTATTTACAGAAGAGAATACAAAGCATAAAACATAAGTTAGGTATAGCAATGTATATGGAGGTTCAGGGTATGTGGGAGTGAACAGACAGTGATTTCTGTTCTCTCCTTAGTTTACCACACTCGGGGCTGTGGACTTGGGCGTTCTGGGGAAGTGGTGTTTGTGTTGAGAGACACAGTAGCATAGTGGTTAAAAGCGTGGGCTCTGGATCCCAGCTGACTGGATCTGCAATCCTGACCACACTACTTGACAGCTGTGTGACCTTGGACTAGTTACTTAACTTCTCTGAGCCCCAAATTCTTTTCCTCTAAAATGGAGGTAATAAGACGAGCTACCTTGGAGTAATAAATCAGTTAATACACATAAAATGATTGGAGGTGTGGGGGGGCTGGCTCATACTAAGTGCTCAATAAAGATGACCTGTTGTCAGAATTCACTGAGACCCACCTTTTGCCCACTGCATGCATTCCTTCCTAGGTAGGGGCTACGTGGTCTCTTTAATAAGGTCTCTCTAGCCAGGGAGGGCTTCAAAGACGTGAGACCTGTGAGTCACAGAGAGTCTCTTTTTCTCCAGTAGCAGCAGCTGAATCCAGTTTGCCATTCTGCAAACGCTCACAGGACCCGTGTCCTCGCACCAGCTCAGAGAGGCCGGCACGCAACAGTGAGCCGACCACTGAGCTTGGGTCCCAGCCCCACGGGCCTCTCTGAACCCAGTCCTCAGCCCCAGCTAAGCAGCACCCCACCTTGGAGGTCCAAGGTGTAGCTCTGTGGGATCCCTCATGGAGTTCTAGGGGTTTTTTGTTTTTTAATTTATTTTGTTGAAGTGTAGTTGATTTACAATGTCGTGTTGATTTCTGCTGTACAGCAAAGTGACTCAGTTATACATATGTATTACACATTCTTTTTCATGTTCTTTTCCATTATGGTTTATCCCAGGATATTGAATAGAGTTCCCTGTGCTGTACGGTAGGACCTTGTTGCTTATCCAGTCTATGTACACTAGTTTGCATTTGCTCATCCCAAACCCCCAGTCCGTCCCTCCCCCACCCCTGCCCTTGGCAACCACACGTCTGTTCTCTCTGTCTGTGACTCTGTTTCGTAGATAAGTTCATTTGGGTCATATTTTAGATTCCACATAGAAGGGATATCATATGGTATTCGTCTTTCTCTTTCTGACTTGCTTCACTTAGCATGATAATCTCCAGGTCCATCCATATTGCTGCAAATGGCATTGTTTCATTCTTTTTTATGGCTGAGTAGTATTCCATTGCATATACATATGTACATATACGTATACACACACACACACACACACACACATATATATATATATATATATAGATATATATATATTCTTTATCCATTCATCTGTCAATGGACATTTAGGTTGTTTCCGTGTCTTGGCTATTGTATAGTTCAAGTTTGGATCATCCCAACCTCTTCCCTCTGCCCTGCTGCCCTGAAGGAGGAACCTCAAGGGACATTTTGGCTTCCTAGTTCTTAGTACTTCTTCATATGAAATTATCTCGGTTAAAATAACTGGTTTGGGGTGGTCACTACAGAAGCCACCTGGCAATGTGTGTCTAGCGTAGGTGTGGCTGATAACACAGGTGATGGAATCAGGGTCCTTCGACAGAACCCTCTGCTCACTGCAAGACGGCGGCTCCTTGGGTTTGCTCGTGAACCTATAGAAAAGGCTGTCTTGGGTAATGAGAAAATCCAGGCAGGGGTGGAGGCTCCACCAAGGGACGCAGCTGGAAATTTCCAGAGTGAATGAAAAAGGCCCACACGACGCAAAGTGATGCAGCCCCTGTGGAAAACAGTATGACGTTTTCGCAAAAAACTAGAACTAGAACCGCCGTATGATCCAGTAATTACACTCCTGTTTATACCCTAAAATAACGAGAACAGTATTTCAAAAAGATACATGCACCCCAGTGTTCATAGCAGCACTATTTACAATAGCCAAGACATGGAAGCCACCCAAGTTCCCATCAACAGGTGAATGGATAAAGAAGATGTGGTCTATATACAATGGAATATTACTCAGCCTTAAAAAAGAATGAAATAATGCTATTTGCAGCAACATGGATGGCCTTGGAGGGCATTATGCTAAATGGAAGAAGTCATACAGAGAGAGACAAATCATGCATGTTATCATTTATATGTGGAATCTAAAAAAGAGAACAAACTAGTGAATCTAACAGAAACAGATTCATAGACACAGAGAACAGACTAGTGGTTACCAGAGGGAAGGAGCAAAATAGAGGCTAGGAGATCAAGAGGCACAAACTACTATGTATAAAATAAGCTACAAAGATGTACAATATGGGGAATACAGCCAGTATTTTATAGTTAACTATAAGTGGAGTACAACCTTTAAAAATCATGAATCACTATGCTGTACACCTGTAACTTATATTGTACATGAACTATACTTCAATTTAAAAAAATGGAAAAAAACAGAAAGAAAAAGGCCCACAATAAGGTCAAGGCATCGATCAAAAAATATTTTTCAAAAAAGAATATTTTTCAAAATTATAAACTGATCCGTGGGGCAGCCTCAAGTCTCTACGTGCTGGAATGCATTTTCAAGTTTTTAAAGGATATATATAATATGAGCTTGAAAACGGCAGAGATGCACCTTATGAATATATATTTGTATTTATATATATAGCTCCCTTCCTGTTTGCTTCAGCAGCTGAACAGGTCCCTGTGCCACGTGAGGGTCCAGGGGCCGAGGGTCCCAGGGGCAGCCACAAGAGTCCCGTGTGTCCCTCCCTGCCTGGAGGGACCATGACCTTGGCCAGAGCTGGTTCTTTCCTCACACGTTGGCTTGTGTGGGGAGATGAGAATAGAAGGCAGCCAGGCAACGAAAGTTCAAACCAGGCTGTCCGTGAGCAGTGGGGCCAGAGCAATTCAGCCTCCAAGGATGCAGACAAACTGAAGGAGAGCCAATGAAAGAGAGAGGGAGAGGACGCGCACGGCAGAAGCTCTGACGTCCGCAGGAACGTCCATGCTCATGTTCTGAATTTGCTTTCATATGAAAACAGTTAGCTCCCCCAGCCCAGATTAAGTCTTGGCGTCTGAAGCCAAAATGGAGGTCTGACTTGGCTGCCCCTTCGCGCTTTCCACACTCCAGAGGTTTGCCAGGGCTCTGGGATCTGATAAGCTGGGTCAGCAGAAATCCAAGAAGACGGGAGGTGAGGCCCAGCCTTTGTCCCCTTCGCAGGCCATCCTCCCTCTGATCCCCAGCTCCTCCAAGTAAATGACACACTGAACTTCATCCCAGGACAGGAGTGTAACTTAGTCGTCCAGGGCTGGAAGGAACTGGAGAAACCAGAGGATGAAGCACGAGGCCTGGAAGATCCATTTGTTCACCTGATCAGACACGTGATTCTTGAGTGGGTGGTCAACCCACGTGTGAGTGACAGGAGGAGGGACGGAAGTGAGGGGAAGAGGCGAGGAGGAATGTAATCCACATCTCTTCTTTTGAGCATGAGAGAAATGATTCCCCCAAAGAGTAAAAGGCCTGGCCCAGCTCCTGCCGCACCCACGGGACCAGAACTTGGGTCTCCGGACTTCTAGAACAGGGTTCTTTCCATTACCTCACTCTGACAGTGTGACTGATAGAATCATATCACCCCTAATGGTGCCACTTGTTCCTCAGGAAATGAGAATAAAAGATGTTTAGGAGGTGGGGTGGGCATGCAGTAATTAATAACTTCAAAGACATAGCTTGGCTGGACCTACCAGTGACCATTGGCTTGGCCCAAACCCGAAGTGTCTTCCTATTAATACATTGAATTTGCTCTGCCCATCAGCCCTGGCAAGCATGATTCTCTCCCAGCCTCCAGCCCTGACGTGTCCCGCAGGAGCACCGGTGTGTGCACAGCTAACATTTCAACTCAAGCTGGCGTGTGTTCTGATTGGAGGGCTCTGATTTCCAGCTCAGGACATCAGCTGAAAACCAGTAGGCAGATATCCAGCTGATAAATGATTGAATCTGGTTCTCCTTAGTGACAGGTGGAAAGAAACTGGGGATCACAAGCTAGGTGATCAAATGGTCAATCAATGAGTATTTATTAAAGGGCCACCATGTACCCACCATCATGCTTGGAGAAGACCTGTCCTCACAGAGCTTTTTGTCTGAGACAATAAGATATTAACACATGTAAACGTAGAGAGCAGTCTAGCTCTATGATCACACTGTAATTTTCTCTGGTCTGGTGAGAGTCAGAAAAGGATGTGATAGAAAACAAACTATGGTTACCAATGGGGATAGTTAGGGGGGCGAGGGGTGGAGATAAATTAGGAGTTTGGGATTAACATAAACACACTACTATATATAACATACATAGACAACAACAGTATAGCACAGGGAACTATACTCAATATCTCGTAATAACCTATAATGGAAAAGAATCTGAAAAAGAATATATATATATAACTGGATCACTTTGCTGAACACCCGGAACTAACACAACATTGTAAATCAACTATACTCCAAGAAAGATGATTTTAAATAAATAAATATGGTTAAAAAAATAAGAATGAAAAAAAAGGATGTGAGAAGAAGTATTAGTGTAGAGAAATGTGGGAGACACAACTGCTGTCTTCAAATGAGATGAAGAGAGCAGCCCTGTTTCGTGTTGCTCCAGAGAACCAAGGGAGCAGGGAGGCACGTTTGGGCTCCATATAAAGAAGGATGGTTTAATAACTGGAACCGTCCGAAATGGTAGGGCTGGCTCGGTAGGCAGAGGGCTCTTTGTCATCAGAAACGTGCAGTCACAGCTGCACAGAAGCCTGTCACAGACACACAGGAAGGGGTCCACTTTGAGGTGGGCGATTAGGGTGACCTCAGAATCTCCCTCTTCTTTCCAATTCTCAGATCCTAAGGCTGGTATAGGAAAGGATTACACTGCAGGTTAACCGTGATCAGTAAGTGCAGCAGTAGCAAGAAAATCCAGCTCTTCAACTGGTAGATGAGGGAGATGGCTGCCTGCCCCAGAGAGTGGCTACAGGGAAACAGAAGGTGCATCCGCCCACAAAGAAAACATGCATATGAGGGCACGCTTAACAGAGATGTCGGGGTGGAGGTGTGGCCAGTGAAAACCTATGAGGAAGAGGTAAGGAAGAGGCCTGTGGAGTGACAGGACTATATATAACAGGACAATAATAGCAACTATTATCTATCGAGCCCTTACAATATGGCAGGAACGTTCAGGCCACAGTTAGTCTCCCAACAGCCCTAGTTAAACAATACATGCCTATGTTACAGGTGTAACCTGGAGCTCAGAGAGGTTATACAGCCAGCATGCTGCGGAGGCAGACTTGGGGTCCCGGTTCGCGTGACTTCCAAGCTCTGACTCTCCATCAGCAGGCGGCACTGCCCTCGCCTCACCTCCACAGGTGACCCGGGCCTTTGATGGAGCTAGATCTGGGGAGCACCTGCGGATACACAGAGCATTTTTACCTTGACCACATGGAGCTTGGGCAGCAGGTTGCAGTCGGCCAGGGTCAGCTCGTCTCCATCCAGGAACTTGCGCCGGGAGCCCTTGTCATCGTCCCCGCAAGTGTTGGAGTCGATCTCCTCCGGCAGAGGGGTGTTCAGGTAGTCATCCAGTTTCTTCAGTGCCTTGGTCAGGCCTCGCTCAAGGGCTGGCGTGGAACAGCAAAAGAAGTGTCTTTAGTCAACCTTCCTGCCGCTGGAGACAGCCACGGGGTCTTCAGAGCAAAGGAGCTTATCCAGAATCCTGTCCACCTCATGATACTGGCTCCCCCCATACTACAGAGTACCTGACAGCCAGGTACACGATGTCATAGAAGAGTATTAAACAGCCTGAAAAAGCAAACCTTAACCAAACAATAAACATTTGCTAATCCTTTTTTTTTTTGGAAAAGATCATATAAATACAGAAATACAACCATCAGGATATCTGTCAAAGCTTGTACAGTTCCTCTCCAACAGATGCGATAATAATTGTCAGTTTTCACTTTCTTCTTTTGCTCATCTAAATCTTGCCGATATTCCGCAATCAACCCGCATAATAATTTTGTAGAAAGAAAGAACTATTAAATAAGTAAACAACAACTGCATAGAGGTCCTAGGACAGAGATAGGCACCAGATTTGGGGGCAGCCTTAGCTATGGCTAACCCAACCTCAGAAGGAGAGGTGTGAAGGCTTCCAGGAAGCCATGACATACGACAGTGAGCACCCATGTCCGGGGCTGCCCCCAGGGAACCAGCGGGTATCAAGGAGGCATCCTTGAGTTTAATCTAGAGGGGTTGTTCTAAAAATCAGAGCGGTCCAAAATGGAATGGCCAACGCACCGGGCAGCAGGCTCCACCAGAAATGTGCAACCCTGCCTGCATGGAAACCTGTCACGGATACAGCTCAAAGGGTGAAAATCCGAGGGAAGACAATGTGGCAGAAGATTTTTCCTGTCTTGCCCCAGTGATTATCTAGCAAATAATTCACTTACGTATAAGAACAGAACAAAATACTCAAAAGAGCAGCAATAGAAAATCACTATCACTCAGAGTCATTCCACCTGAAATCTCACCGACCACTCCAGTCAGAGAACCCTAACCTAGGACCTGTCCACCTGAGCGCTGGAGGAGGTGGCTGGCCAGGTCATTGGCCAATGCACCTGTCATCAGCCCACCCTCCAATGACTGTTTTTTCCAGACTCTAGTTTAGAGATTGACACCGAGACGGTGGGAATCAGGCTGGATGTTAATTTCAGCAGCTAAAAGGAGGGAGCTGCCTCTGGAGGAAGAGCCCAGAGGACAGTGCTCTCGCTCACATTTTCCCCAAATGTGCCTTCTGTTAGCTCCTCCTCGCATAACCCATGTTTGTCTTTTCATAGAAAGACTTTGTCTGAGACAATGGAACGACACCAGCCCAAGATACATCAACTGAACGCTTACTGGAACATGTGAAAACAGGCTGGAGGTTGGATGTGGTTTCTCAACACTTCCTTCTCCCTGGCATTTGAACTTGGACTTCATCGTCTGCTTTGTGTTTCCAGTTTGGGAGAACAGAGCGAGCGGGGCTGGGAAAAATGCTTGTATTCCCCTTAGTAATCGTCTAGACTGGGATGGGACGGCAAGCCTATTCAAGCGCACCAGCAGAGGGTGCCAACAATACTTCTTAGCACCCCAGCTCACCCCCACTGAAGCAGCTGTGATTTATACTGGGTCTGTTTGCTTCCACAAATCCCGCTACCCCTTTCAGTTATGGAGATGATGACAAAATCTTGATTCTAACGGAGAAAGGAAAAATCAGATAGAATGCCTGCTGAAATTTGATGAGCTGATATCACCCGAGGGAAAGAGACATTGATGGGATACGAGACATTGCAGGTTCTAACTCCAAATGCCCCCAGACACCTGAGCAGGTCCCTGCCCGAGTGCCCAGTCTTGGAAACGTGAACTTTGGTAAGAGAGGCCTAGAACAGCAGCTGAAGCTCTCTGGGAGGATAGTTCTGGAGAAATTTCAACTCTCTCTCCAGCCGTCTCTTAAGGTGGAAGGGTAAAGTTTGGCAATGGGCAGGGTCATTGCCTTACGTCACAACGACGACACGCCACGTAACATATCAAGTCAGGATGTCCTGAGGACATCTTCCGAGTGTCAGCTGCATCACTCGTGTTTGTGCGTTTTTGATCAGGAACGTGAAGGCCAGAGTTGGCGATAATCACGGTAGAGAAAAGAGGAGACGAGGCAGCAGGGAAGGGCCCATGTGACAGAGCTAACCCTGTGTTTAAATTTTGGCCCCTCCCAGGGTGAATTTACTGTAATGCTGCCGAGGTTTACACTCCAAGGCCTTGAACTTGACTTTTCAAATTCCTTATTTATTGTATTGGCTTCCGACTCCACAAATCCTGGAAATGACCCTGATCCTGGCACTTACGAAGTGTGACAGTGGGCAAGTTCCTCAACCTCTCTGAGCATTGCTTTTCTCATCTCAACTGCAGGATTAAAAATCCCTAACTCCCATAAGGCCATCGGGAGGATTAACTCAGCCAATGCGGGGAAAGCGTGTCATGCAGTGCCTGGCTCCTATTAGGACATCAGTTAATGACACTTACTGCCATTGTGTTACCAAACGTGGCAGTCACCCCTGCTCTGTCCCTCACCCCACACTCTTGGTCAGTATATTCCTCAAAAAATCCGAGGTACGGCAGAGCACGAGAGATTCTAAGCTCCGATTCTGAAGCCCAGTCCCTAGAGGAGGAAATTCAATGGCCTGCAGCTTGGCTTCTCTTACTGACTGAATGTCCAGCCACAGCCCTGTCCCGTACCCTCCCTCGGGATCCTTCTCGGTGACAAGCTGTGCTGAGAGGCAGGGCCAGAGGGAGATAGACGTGCCTGTGTGCTAACACACTGCTGTGTTGTTGAATGACAAAGACCAGCGCCAATACATTCTCTGCTGGCTCTTTCCCCCCTACCTGCCAACTCATTCCTTCTTCTGACCCCCGCTCAATCTGGCATCCATAGAATTTAATGATCTCTTTTGGCTAATGGTACCCAGGTCATGAAACCGTTGCTGTTAAACTTTCTGCTCTGGTGAGAGTGAAGGGGATGTGAAAGAAACCAGAGTGACAAGAAGATGTTAATTCCTTCTGTGTTGGCATTTGAAACCCTCCCTCCAAAAGACTTCCTCTGAGTAGCAGGACGGCGTTGGGCGGGGAGGTGGCGGGGAACCTCAGAGAGCAGCAAGCCAGCCTGAGGCCAGGGGACCCCGAGACCCGGGACCACTAACGTCCCAGGCACTTGATGGATCCCCAGTCCTTGAACTGCTTTCTTCCCCTCTCCACCCCACCCTTCCCGTAAAGATTTATTCCGTACCACACACAAACACACTGGGTAAAATATGTGATGAGGAAACAAGGGGAATAGTTCATAAATATTCTCAGCCATATGCAAACAATCTCAAATTTATTTTTCTCTTTTTTAAGGAGGAAAAAAAAAATCCACCCATTCCATGATCACTTCCAGATTCACTGAGGTTGATATTACATAAGACCCAATATTGTTTTCTCTTCGTAGAGAAATAATAACTTGGAAACGGCAATTTGAGCTAAGAAAATAATATACTCTTACCCGGGCATGGAGGCTGAATGGGGACCAGGGAGCCAAGACTCAGCCTCCAACAAGCTCTTGCAAGCAGGGCCCAGCCCGGGTTTGCTGGCATGCTTTGTGCAGCGGGGATATCAAGCAGCAAAGAGCCACGCAGACCCCAGGGGCTCAAAATTCACTTGGAGCTGAGCGATGTCACAGGTGGCCTTTGAAAGGACAGGAGCAGCCCTGTGGGCCCAGGTTGCTATGTTTTCAGTTTCTCGTGTGTTATTTTTCTCTGGCACGTGAACTTGCAGACAGGTAAGGACCAGGGGGTCCACCTCTGATCATGGTCCGCAGCCTGGACGGGGGTCTGTTCACCTCTCCCGTGGAGAAGGAGATGGTGGTCACTGGGAGCCTACCCCAGAGCGGGCACCCTAGACCCTGCTGTGTTCCTTTCCCTGCTCGAAACCTGTTCCCCAGCACCGGCACGAAATACACTCACTGATGTTCTGAAGTGGACCAGGGGTGTTTACGCCACTGATCATTTAAATACACAATGAAGCTATTGAGATGAGGGTTATTATTCATCCCCATTGAACAGGTAAAGACATTGTGTCTTAGTCCCATCCAAGGCACACAGGCCTGTGCCAGCAGGCTGTCCAAACAACTCCTGGGACATACCATGAAAAACGTACCTTGTTTTGTTTGTTTGTTTGTTTGTTTTGCGGTACGCGGGCCTCTCACTGTTGTGGCCTCTCCCACTGCGGAGCACAGGCTCCGGACGCACAGGCTCAGCGGCCATGGCTCACGGGCCCAGCCGCTCCACGGCATGTGGGATCTTCCCGGACCGGGGCACGAACCCATGTCCCCTACATCGGCAGGCAGACTCTCAACCACTGCGCCACCAGGGAAGCCCCCTTGTTTTGTCTTTAACCGCTTTGCTCTTCCTGACAAGCTCCCAATGCGTGGGCCATGGGAAAACGACAACTTTAATTTAGTCCATTCTGGATTAGAATCTAGTTGATGTAATAATCTAAATAGTCCCTCTAGGGAATTCTCAGTCTCTTTTGCATAAAAATGCTCAGTTACTCAGAGAGCCTGCTCTCCCCTGCGCTTCCCTGTGAGTAAATGGGGAGTGGGTATGTGAGGAGCCTGGGACCTCCTGGCACTGGGGAGATGGGAATCCTGAGGTCTGTTGGGTGGGCAGCTTGGGGAGGCTACCACAGGGGCTCTATCTCTTCTCAGTGACGCTGACCCTCCACATCCTTCCAGAGTAACCGTGGGGATGTTGACCCTTGGGTGGTGGTCAGAGGTGGGATGCTGCTTGCCTCTGTCCGAAACTTTGATTGGGAAGAATACCCAAGCAAAGCACCCCATGGGGCTCCCCAGACACGTCTCTGGTTCCCTTTCTCCCTGCCTCTCTCTCCTCCTTCATCCCCAAAACCCCTGTTTCAGTTTCCTACGTCCAAGATTCCATCAACCACAGAGCAGCTATCCTCCCTGTGAGCTGAGTCCTCCAGGCCTGGTTCCTGACGTGATAAAATTGAGAGAAAAAGGCATCTAGGACATTTTAAGACAATAGCTTGGCTTGCA